CTTTTAACAGGAAAGTTAAGCTGCTCAATTATTAATATGAAACTGACAATAGTTATTTCTAAGTGAATGATGATGATAACTTGATTTAATTTTTTTTTAAGTGTATTCCAACAAAAGCTAGAGGAAATGCTGCTGGCAGTCTCTCTTTTTTTATGCCAGTGCTTTCTAGCATTTGGCTTAAGGAAATATAAAGATTTTTCTCAATTTATATTTAAAGTACTTTTTTTTCCCTATAGTAAGTGAAAGGGATCTGGTAAGAATGGTAATGCTTAAATTCAGATACAGCTTATATAGGTGCATGTTAATGTTTCTGAGAAACAATAATCATTGGCCATAGGTCTGGCAGAATGCAAAAATTTGTATTAATTTTTGAAAGTGACATCACATACAGATTTCAGAGCTCAATCAGTGTTTTTTGTATAAAATATAATAGGTAGCTGTAATTTCGAAGGAGGCTGTATTGTACAGTTCACGAACCACAATGTTAGATGTGTATTTGATTTAATAAAATTTACAATAAAAACGTATGACTAATTCTGTTTTAGTAATTTAAATAACCGGTTGTATTAGATGTATTGTACTAGAAAAATCTTACTGTTACATTGCTGTTTTCTGTTTTTTGCAAACTTATTCCTATATTTGTAAATAAGAACTATAGTGTAAGTATTGTGTATATGCCTCAAGCATGGCATTTTAGCAGTGCTGAAGTCATACTTCTTATATGGCATCTTATTCCATGTTTCGAGTTTTACATTGCCATGAATCATCATGGTTTCATTTGCCATAAAGTGCTAAATTTCTGGAGATTGTATGGGCTTCTGTGTATGCTGCTTTCATTTTTTGTAAGCTTGGTTTTGTGTATGCTTTTTCAGTTCAAGTCATATATGGCACTGTGCTGGATTTTGCAGTCGGTTACTTTCAGAGGATTCAGGCCAGATTCTGCAGGCTTAGTAGGAATACTTGTGTTTGTGGCAAGTTGTTGAACTGTGTCCTTGCAGGGTACTGGTACAAATGTGCCATAAAAGATGACTGTTACAGCAAATCTTCAATCTGTTCAGTTTAGGGTTTTTTTTTTTTTTTGTTGTGTCCAATGTATTGCTACATCTGAAAATTAAAGCTAAAAATAAATCAGTGAATACAAACCAGTTTGTTCTGCAGGTGGAGACTTGTGTATTTTACTGGCAATTATGGATCTGATTTAATAGACAATCTGAGCAATAAGACAGAACACAAATCACATCAATAGGTGTGCTTCTTGACTGGTTTAGACGAAACTCTGAAAGGAAACTAGTATTACAAGAACGCATTAAAAAGCTGCTTACTTGCTTAATAGCTTTACAAATTCAGGTTTTGTTTTGTAGAGATATTTTGTCAATATATGTTTCAAAAGTAAGTCAGTGGTAGATTTGGAACACAAGGTTAAGTGCAAGTGGTATTGCCATTAACCTGTGTGTTTATGTGTTTCTTAAGCAGTCAGTCTCTGGTGTTTGTTTAGCAAGGTTTTTTCTTTTTTGTGGTTTTTTTTTTTTTTTTTTGTGTGTGTGTGTGTGTGTGTTTTGTGGGGTTTGTGGTTGTTTTTTTTTTCCTCCGTGCGTGAGAACACAAAAATACAGTAATTGTGGCTGTATATCTGATACCTGTATTAAAGCAAAAAGCTTTAGCATGGGTCTGTGTGCATGCTAGTCATCGTGTGTATTGCATTAGATAATTGCAGTGAACAGCATGTTCAGCCTTAGGTTTAAATCAGGTTTGATGCTGAAGTTCTTGAAAAAGATGTCAGCCATGGTGGATAACAGTCACGAATTAGAAATAACTTCTACTGGATTTCTCTAAAGATGTTTGGCAGATACAGTTGTAATCTACTAATAATGTTTTCTTTATTCTAATGTTTATATCTTGTCATGATTTATAGAGGAAGTCAGCCCCGTCAGCTTTAAAAAAACTAAAGCATTTGTGTGATAAACCCGTCTTGACAGACTGCTAAGCTGAAAACAGGAGAAAAGAGAACAACACTTGCTTTCTGTTTCTACTTTCTGAATGTAAAGCAAAAGTCTGACTTACTAATTAATAGTAAAATACCATAGGGACTGCAAAGTATAGAGTTATGGACCAAATTACTAACTGGAGGCCCTTATTTTGTATTTTCATCATGATTTTCTATTTTGATAATATTTTTTTAATTTGATGCGCAGTTTTTTTTATCTTAACATGATAATTTATACACAGTCACAGAAAGCATTGTAAATGGCTTTAGTAAATTGAGTCCATTAAAATTAAAATGTTTTATTTGTGAGCTAGTGTAAGTACCTTGAAATAAGCGGGTGTGACTCAAATCTGAAAATAAGGACACTGTATTGAGTTGTAAACATAGAAAGGAATTAGGTGTTTTAGTAATGAAGTGGGAGTATGTGACACTGTTTTTTGGCCACAGGTAAGTTTCTTAATTGGTGAAAGAATAGGGAGTTACTTGTAACTTTGTAGTGACATCAATGTGACTAGTACTGAATTCTGCACTTAATTTAGGTACCTCTTTTTTTAAAAAATCTGGTTTTGAGCAAGATATGCAAGAACACCGACTTCTGTAATTTCACAGAAGGAAGGCTGGAATGTGTGATACAAGTTCCCAGTATTTCCTTCTTATCTTCTTACACCTGAGGGCTTCAGTGTTGAAGCCAGACTAATTAAAAATGGAAATAAAATACATGATTTTAATTGGTGATAAGTATTGCAATATCCTCTCAATAAAAGATTTCTTCGTTTCCTTGTTTTTCTTATTTAACCCATTTTTCTTAAAGACTTGTATAAAAGAGCTTACATTTGCATATTTATTGTTGGAAAAAAATACCTTAGATACGCTTTTCCTAACGTTACTTTCTGACTTCTGGCGATCTAGGGACAGGAAGAAAAAAATGCAAGTAACAGAAGGATCTTACGTTATTGTTTTTAAGCAAAAGCAAAAAGACTATTTGATTAAAAAAACAACATCACAAACCTCTAGTACTTTGAACTCTTAATATGAAATTATTTTATAAACATGGAGAACCTTAGACAAAGTACTCTGTAGCTGCCTTGTGGAAGCTGGTAACAACAGTCTTCTGGCTTTTGTATTTTTGAAGTGTGTTTAGTATTTTAAAATGTTACAAAAAGGTACAGAGCAGATGCAGTTGTAATAGGGGAAACTGATGTCTCTTGAGAATGATTTGGAGTTAATGTCTTTAAATGTGCAAATACAGGAGCAGAGATTCTCAGGTCATTATACCTCCTTCCAAATTCCCAGTGTTTTATTTCTCTTTATATGCTTAGGTGGTTTCTGGTGTGTTTTATTTGTTTGGGGTTTTGTTTTAGTTTTTTGACTGAAGTTTCTGTACATCTGTTGGATAACTTAATTTGTTGCTGCACATACATCCACATTTCCATGTGTAATTACACCGTGCCAGAAAGTAAAGGCAGAAAATTTGAATTCTAGAGTTATGGTATCCTCTTATGTGTACAAATATATTTTCTGATCCATTATCATTATGGATAATTATAATTAGGGATGATATTTTTAAAATTAAGAACACTACCTTGTACCATGTTCTGATGTGCAATGTGATCTGTGCTCTTTTGTTAGTAGTAATAGGCTACTCTTGTGCAGTCTTTCTGAAATGGTTATGATTATGTGTGTTGAGTATATTATTATAGATATGGGTATGATTATACATATTTTATAAATAAATGGAAGGTCTACTCTGCAGATTATTGAACAATTAAACTGGATTTTTAGGGGTTATGTTTTCATTATTGTCAATTCTAGGAAAAGAGTTTAGTGAATATGCTCTCAAAAATGCTGTGTTAATTTGCTTTTAGTTTGCTAAAACAGTAAGGGTTTGGGTTTTTCTGGTGTGTTTTTTTTGTTGTTGTTGTTTTTTTTTTTTTCTTTGTTTAACCCAGAGCTATTGTGGACACAATTATAAATCTGTGCCCTGAGTGTAAGTAGTACTGTAATAAGGTATGAAAAACTTGGGATTTTTGATGTACCTCAGAAACCACCCAGAGTTAGGGATGGTTTCATTTTTAAACTTGCATCTGATCTACAGAGAAGGAAAGTGAAATCCAGTGTTTCATTAGGGGGTATTCTCAAAATAGATTTTTTAGTTCTGTGTAGTACAGTAATGTAACAATGAAGACCATAAAAAACCTCACATTGAAGGAAAAATGTGTTTCAGAGAACTGGATATTTAGAGTAAATGAGACACAGAGAATGTAGAGCAAAAAAAAAAAATCTCAACTAACCAGCTTTAAGTGAAGAAAATTTATTCTACTGAATGAGGAAGAGGTCTTATGCGTATGGGGAAGTGCAAGATCAATAGAGACAATGATATCAAGTTATTTTGAATTATATAGTAGTCACACAATCCATATATACAAAAAGGCAAAAGTGAAACTGGATCATAAGTCTTTGAATATTGATACTTTTGAACTTTGAGATTTCTAAAGGTAGGTGGTAACATGAAGCTATAAAGTACAGACTTAATGTCTCCTTAAACTTGAGGATTCAATAATCTTTTTTTTTGATTTTTAAATTATTTCTATAGATATGGTAGTTTTATTCCTGAATGTACATCTGTTGTAGCGTTAATTTAAAAAATTTAAATGTGGTATTTTTTGGTTTTTGGTTTTCGTTTTTTTTTTTAGGAAGGATCTTATTTAAACCTCTCTTCATACCTTTTTAAAATCCTGCTTCAATTTACAGTTAACCTGAAACCTTCTGATTTTAATTTTTTAAGTCTTTCACAAGTCAAATGTGTAAAACTCATAAAATATTCAATGAAACTGGTACTATTTCCATTACTCCTGTTTTATCTTTTAGCTGTAGTTTTAATGAGGTTTTATTGTTGCTTTTGTGTGAAAAATGTATTTTTAGCTTCAGATCAGCTTGAAATCAGGTAGGAATTTTGTTCGTATGTTCACTGATTTTATTTAATCCCTTATAATTACTTCCTATCTTTATTTTACAGATGGAATACCTCAGGTTTACTATTTTGGCCCATGTGGCAAATATAATGCTATGGTGCTAGAACTGCTCGGACCTAGTCTGGAAGATTTATTTGACTTGTGTGGTAGGACATTTTCTCTTAAAACCGTTCTTATGATAGCCATACAGTTGGTAAGTAGAATAGATCTTAATTTGAGTTTTCGTTAGAATAACTAAGTCAGTCTTCAATGGATTAAATGCTTTTGTCATTTAAGAGACTTGCACTGCCCATGTTTAAAATTGGTGTTGGTGGCTTTTAAAGAGCCACCATACAATTTTAGTAGGAAGACTGTCATGTCACTTTCAGTTACTTTGTTCTAGTTACTTTGTTCAAGAACCATTGCATGAATGTAGTTTCATTGTGTCTTCTGATTTGTCATAATCACAATCTGAAATAATGAATTCTAGCTTAATGAACTCAATTAGAAAAAAAAATTAATCCCAAATCTTTCTGAAATAAAAATAGTTTTAATTCACAAAAGGTGTTGGATGATGGGACTCCTAAAGTAGCATAAATATATTTCCTAGTCATTCTCAGAAAGAAACCAAGCAAACAAAAAATCAAATCCACAAACCCATACAGAAATATTAAAATAGGATAGGATTATTAAACAAAGAATTTTTTTTTTTTTCCTGATTTTGTTCCCATCTGGTGATAGGTGGATGTGGAAAGAGAGAAAAGGGAAATAAGGCTTGCATTGTTTACTTTGATAGAATACGTTTTAAATAAGTTCTTATGAAAAATTAGTGATACTGAAGCTCCACTTCCCTAAATAGGTAGTTTTTTTACCAGGCAGGGTAAAAATAGCTGTTTAAAACATGACTGTAATTGTATAACAGTCCTGCAACTATAGAACATTCAGCTTATTTACAGGCAGAATGGCAAAGTTCATTTTTTAAAATGCTCAGATTATCACAGATCATCTTTATTCAGTACTTGCTGTTCTTCCTGAATATATACATTTTGGTAGAAAATGATCTGGCTAGAATTGAGGTTATATGCATACTGCTGAGCTCCCATTGCTTCTCTTGTTTATACCTTTAACATGTAATAGGTCCAGATGGAACTTTGCTGCTCACTACTTGATGGCATAATTTTTTGTTTTAGTTTTAATGTGCACAAAATATGCTTGGTACCAGCTGTTCTTAAAGAAGATAACTTCTATTTTATACTTGATTTGTATCTCATGTCCAGTGTGAAAGTTTCCAGTATACCATGTACTGTGTCTTCTTGTAAGAAAAACCTAGCCAATCTGTTTTAATTGATTTTTATTATAATTAATATCGAGAGACAATAAGCAAGCAGCACTGGGTGCGCCGGGAGTCTCCGCTCCGCCCAAAATGCACATGGGGAACTTCTGGGGATAGTCTCTTATACTTTTTGGTTTCCCGGGCTTCTTGGGTTTCAGCCAATCCTGTTGTCTTCTTTTCCCGGGCTTCTTCAGCCAATCCTGTTGTCTTCTTTTCCAGGGCTTCTCCACCTGTTATTGGGGTCTTGTCTCCGGGTGAAGAAATATTATGTCTATCGCAAGTCTGACCGCCATCTTAGCCCCCATAAATTCCACTCCTTATGTGTTTATTTGTTCAGCGCACAGATTTCACAACGTTCTGTAACAGGACATATCTCTAAGTTATCTACCCCCCCCCCCCAAGAACATTCATGCAATTTAAACAATGAACAAAACATTTCTTTGCACAATATTGCAGTTGACCCAGGGGAATTATTCCCTTGTTTCTTCTTCCTCCTCACTGTGGTATTGACAGGGACACTTATCATACCCTTTGCACATAGCACAATGGTCACAAGGGATTCCATCTCCACACAAAGTGCAATGATCACTAGGACCCCTGAGTTGCTGACACAAATCACTCTGATGTAATTCACATTCTTAAAAAATGTGCACAATTTTCATTGACTTTAAAAGGGAAATACCTTGTTAAGAGCAGTAGCTCTTAGGTTTTCAGGTGATGGGAAGGGTGATTTCCTCTAAATATAAAGTCTATGTAAGTTATTTAGCTTCTGCCACAACTTAATGTGGCAGCCAGAAGCTTAAACTAAACTATCGTTTCTTTCTTTTATTAGATTTCTCGCACGGAATATGTCCATTCAAAGAACTTGATATACAGAGATGTAAAACCTGAGAACTTCTTAATAGGACAACCTGGAAACAAAACACAGCAAAGCATTCATATTATAGATTTTGGTTTGGCAAAGGAGTATATAGATCCAGAGACAAAGAAGCACATACCATATCGGGAACACAAGAGCCTTACAGGAACAGCTAGATACATGAGTATAAATACACATTTAGGAAAAGGTATGTATGCTTTTTAAGTGCAGAAAGAATGCAACAGCTGTCATTTGTCAGAAATCATCATGTTTTCAAGTTGTAATTTTTTTCAGTGTATAGTCATAATAACTGCAAGTTTTGTGTACTGTGCAAAATTACAGTTTGTCCTTGCAGAAATACTGTTTATGGGAATATGATGTTCTGCGTTGCTAATCGTCATGTTTATGTCTCAGCAAACAATAGTTATTTTTGTCAGATATCCATAAAAGAAAGATGATGTGTATCTTTCTGTATCATACCATCTTCACATTAGAAACATACCGTAGCAGGTTGGGTGGGTGGCAGGTAGGTATGCTTATTAAAGATACCAAAGTGAAAAGATTGCAAGAACATATTTTTTCAATTCTACCGTGCCTGTTTTTTGAGCCCTTTGAAACGCACCAGGTACTGGAATAAAAGTAGTTTATATTTTATGCTGATTTCTTGATTTTCTTAGTGGTTTTTAATGTTTATACTGTTAATGAGGTTTTGTCAGACTAGTTAAAAGTTATGTGAGTATTGTGAATATGATGCACGAAAGAAATGGCAGGAGATATATATAGAGAAGTTGTTATTATTAAATAATAATGTGTGAGCACTCAAAGCAGTCTTTTTTTAGGTTTGTTTATTCCAGTTATATAGAGGTTTTCTAGTGAAAACAGGTTTGACACCTTTGAATTTGTGTAAACAAGTTGCTTAACATTGCATGGTAACCACTAATTAGGTTGCTCTCACAGTTACTTTGTATTAATATGGCAAATGAGAAACCATTCACATTTTCTAAATAGTAATAAGGTGCTTTATCAATAAAGTCAGGCTGTGGTAGTTTGTGGTTAGCAGCTGTAGCTGGTGAATTGATGTTAACATGTAGAAACATAGAATCGTTTATGTTGGAAAATGCCCAACTGCTAACTACCCACCGTTTACGCTAAGCACTGCCAAGTCCACCATTAAACCATGTCCCTCAGTGCCACATCTACACGTCTTTCAAATATCTTTAGGGATGGTGACTACACCACTTCCCTGAGCAGCCTGATCCAGTGCTTGACAACCCTTTTGGTGAAGAATATTTTCCTTATAGCCAATCTAAATCTCACTTGGTTCAACTTGAGGCCATTTTGTCTTGTCCTATCTCTTCTTACTTGAGGAAGAGACCAACACCCACCTCGCTCCATCTCCTTTCAGGTAGCTGTAGAGAGCGATAAGGTCTCCTCTGAGCCTTCTTTTCTCCAGATTAAACAATCCTTCCCCCCCCCCCCCCCCCGTTTTTTTAGTTACTTCAGTGGAAATTGTAGAATTAATTAAAGTAATGGGTATTTGAGAGAGTTTCTGATAAGTATATGAAGCATTGGTGTATATTATTTTACTTACACATGAGGAATACTAAAATTTAAACAATATTTTTGTCAAAGAAACTCATTTAATATCTAGTATTTAACCAGGTCTTGTGGAATGCAACAGTGCTTTCTGTAATGCAGCGTGTTTTGCTAAGCATAGTGAGTGGATTTATAGCCATTGAGCAGCTGAGAAACAATTACCCAGTTTGCTCTTCTGTTGCAATTTCAGGAAGGCCAAACTCAGTATCAAAACACCTGATACTCATCTTCTACAATCAGGGACCCATAGCCTCCAAAAGTTGATTTTGTTAGCTGTCAGCTCTGAAGTAGCTAGTATCTATCTTTGCTTTCAACTGTATACCCACAAAAAAAGACTTGGGGTGCTGGTTGATGAGAAACAAAACATGAGCTGGCAATGCGCGCTCGCAGCCCTGAAAACAACCGTGTGCTGGGCTGCATCAAAAGGAGCATGGCCAGCAGGTCAAGGGAGGTGATCCTGCCCCTCTTCTCCACTCTCATGACACCCTGCATTCAGCTTTGGGGCCCCCAACAGAAGAGGGGTGTGGACCTGTTAGAGGGAGTCCAGAGTAAGGCCACATAGATGATTGAGAGGGCTGGAGCACCTCTCCTGTGAAGACAGGCTGAGGGAGCTGGGCTTCTCCAGCCTGGAGAAGAGAAGGCTCAAGGGATACCTTACTGTGGCCTTTCAGTAGCTAAAGTCTGCCGGAAAGCTAGAGAGGGACTTTTTACAAGGGCGTGTAGTGATAGGACAAGGGGAAATGGCTTTAAGGTGACAGAGGGGAAATTTAGATTAGAATTTAGAAGTTCTTTACTGTGAGGGTGGTGAGGTTGCCCTGATAAGCTGCGACTGCTCCATCCCTGCAAGTGTTCAAGACCAGGTTAGACATGGCTTTGGGAAACCCTGCCCATCTCAGAGGGGCTGGAAGTAGATGATCTTTTAAGGTCCATTCTTACCCAAACCATTCTATGATTCTATGAAGCATGGAGAAATTTTGTCCCCGAGAGAAATTACCTTATAGAAGCAAGGACACCAGTCACATGCTAAGGGCTGCAGAATATTTGTATTTCCTTCAAACAGTGATCTGAATAAAGCCATTTCACATAAACAGAATTATTTCAGATACAGTTTCCCAGCTTGGCACAAAACAAACAGAAACCCTTAATTAGAAGTCAGTTTCTGGAACAAAAGATTATTGAATCTATTGTCTACACAAAGTTCAGTAACTCTGTGTCACCTTCTGTATACTCCTCAGAGGAGCGGACCTTGGCAATTTTGTGCAAGTTTTGATGGCATTCTATACGTCCTGCTTCACAAATTAAAGAAATACTACATTTTTAGAGGGGAGTCACAAACATACAGCAAAACCAAACTCCACATGAAGGAGAGGCCATGAAAGTTAAGAGCTCCCATTCATAGTGTTCAGTGTTTGTTAGACCTCAGCGATCTTGTTGATGAGTTGTCACCCAAGAAATGTCTGCAGAACAATGAGGTCAGAAACCACTGATCTGAGTCTGAACTGAAGCAGAGTCATTACATGAGGTCATGCTTCTCTGCATGGTTTACCAACATCACTGTAAAGATTTCAGAAAGGCACAGCACTGGTCTGAGCACCAACCCCTGAGGAGTGTCACTGGTCTCCACTTGAATAGCGAGCTTTTAACTGCAGCTCCTTGAGTCAAGCCAATTCCATATCTACTGAGTGGTCCATCCATCAGATCCATATAGTTCTCCAATTTAGAGACGAGGTTGTCATGTGGGACAGTGTTGAATACTTTCCACAAGTACAGGTAGATGACATCAGTCACTCTTCCCATATCCACCAATGCTGTAGCTCCACCATAGAAGGCCACCACATTTGTTAGGCATGATTTGCCCTTAGTGAAGCCATGTTGGCTGTCATCAGTGACCCCGTTATTGTCCAAGTGCCTAGCATGGTTTCCAAGAGGATCTGCTCCATGACCTTGCAGGCACTGAGGTTAGACTGATTGGCCTGTTGTACCCTTCAGCTTTCTTTTTTCCCCTTTTAAAAAAGTGTATTAAATTTTACCTTTTCCAGTCAGCAGGAATTTTTCTGGTCCCATGGACTTGTGCACCTTCACATTCCTTACATGATCTTGAACCTGATCTTCTCCTACAGCAGGTAGTTCTTCATTTTCCCCGTCCCTACTTTTGCCTTCTCTGTCTTTGGCAGCATGACTGGAGCTCTTCTGTTGGAGACCAAGGCAAAAAAGTCATTGAGTATCTTTGCCTTCTCCATGTCCTAGGTGACTGTGTCACCCATTTCCTTCTGGAGAGGGCCTACATTTCCTCTAGCCTTCCTTTTATCACCAATATACCTACAGAAGCTCTTCTTGTTGCCCTTGATGTCCCTGGCCAGATTTAATTCTGTCAGGGCTTTAACTCCTGGCTGCTCTGACTATTTCTCTGCATTCCTCCCAGCCTACCTGTCCTTATTTCTACCCTCTGTAGGCCTCCTTTTTTATGCTGAAGTTTGTCCAGGAGCTCCTTGTTCATCCACACAGGCCTCTTGACGTTCCTGCCTGACTTGCCAAAGAGGCCAAAATCAGTTCTCCTGAACTCAAGGGTAGCAAGGATACTGCACAGCGCCTCTCACAATTGGATTCTCACTTGAAAAAGGATGTTATCATCAAGGCATTCCAGGAACTTCCTGGATTACTTGTGCCCTGTTGCGCTGTCCCTTCAACAGATACAGGAGTGGTTGAATTTCCCCATGAAGGCAGGGCTTGTGAATGTGAGGGTGCTCCTGTCTGCCTGTAGAGGGCCTTATCTGCTCAGTCGCCCTGGTTGAGTGGCCTGTAGCAGACCCCCACTGTAATGTCCCCTCTCCCTGCCTTCCCTTTAATCCTGACCCATAAGCTCTTGACTGGCTCATCATCCATCCCCAGGCAGAGCTCTTTGCACTCCAGCTGGTCATTGACATAGAGGATGACATCTGCTCCGTGTCTCCCCAGCCTGTCCTTCCTTATAGAGCCTATGCCCTTCTGTTCCAACACTCCAGTCACAGGAGCCATCTCACCACATGTCTGTGATGCCAGTAAGATTGTAGCCGTGCAGGCCTGTGCACGTATCTAACTCTTTTTAGTTTCCCATGCTGTATGTGTTTAAGTTGGGCCTCTTCATTTTCATGAAGGAAGAGAGGGATCCCAGAGAATGTAGGTTCTGACTGGAAGCTTAAGGAAGACAAAAATGCGCATCTGTAAAAGTCCTACAATTTCTGTATTTACTGGAAATCTAAGTTGTTGATAGTTTGGGGATTTCTCTAAATCCAGAAAAACAGTGTACTGAATTGTTGTCCAAGATACTTGGCTACAGAAAGTATAGTCACATGAATTTGCTTTAATATGGCTATCTCTAATGGTCTCTGTGACAACCACTGTCCTTGGTTGTGTTGGTCTTTTCTTTGTGGTGCTAAGGCGCAAAGGGGAGTTATTTTACAATGGATCCCGAGACTCTTGGGAATGAAACAACTCAGCTCTTCTAATGCTTATTGAAAGGCCAAATGAAGTCAACTACTTTAAACAGTACTTTTGGTACAAAATCAAAAGAACCACAGCCTTAGCTTTATAGCAGATCTACTGTGTTATCAGAGCAGTCATGATTGAGATTTAACATCAGTTATCTAGGGGACAGACTTCTTTGTAACCTAAACCAGCAAAAAATAATTCTACATTGGTTCAATTTTAATGCATTGTTTTATTACAAATAAATGCTTGCACCTGGAATTGTATTAGCCTAAATCACAGAGTTTTTCCAGAATCTTGGAGAAAACCAGTGTTTTTGCAGGTACAGGCTGTGCTTTGTGGTGGTAGGCCTCCAGGAGTCCTAGCAATTTCTACATGTCACTGAGCCAGTGGTGCAGAGTGAAGTACTTTTCCAGATCTGTGACCCCCATGGGAAGTCCCCTAGTCTCCTTCTTGTACCCGTGGAGTTATCACTGGACCTGAGGGGCAGGAATCTAGCTGCTATAGACAAATACCTTTTTCTGTGTAAGCTAACCTTGTAAATCCATAATCACATGAAACAATGCTTCTAATGCAACCTGAGCTAAATAAATCTTTGCTTCCTTAATTTAGGATACAAATTATTATTTTTTCCTGTTATTCTTAACAGCATGGCATATGATGTGTCTTTATGATAAAATGGGTGTAGAACTTCATTTTTATATTTGAATTATTGACTTCAGGGTTCCTCATTTTATTTGGGAAGTGTCCTGGTTTCAGCAGTAGCAGTCATTTTTCTCCTTCTTAATAGCTGGCGCAGTGTTGTGTTTTTGACTCTCAGCCTGAGAACAATGCTGATAACACTGATGTTTTTAGTTGCTGCTCAGTAATGTTTACTCTGACCAAGGACTTTGTGAGTCTCATGCTCTGCCAGGAGGGAGGGGAAGCTGAGAGGAAGTAGAGGCAGGACACCTGACCCAAACCAGCCAAAGAGGTATTCCATACCACAGCACATCATGCCCAGTATATAAACCAGGGGCAGTTACCCAGAAGGGTTAGATCACTGCTCAGTCGGGCTGGGTATTGGTTGGCAGGTGGGGAGCAGTTGTATTCTCTTCCCTTGTTGTTTCCCTTATCATTATTATTATCGGTGGTAGCAGTAGTGGTTTTGTGTTATACCTTAGTTACTGGACTGTTCTTATCTCAGCCCATGGGAGTTACATTCTTTCGATTCTCCTCCCCATCCCTCTAGGAGCAGGGCGGGAAGAAGGGGAACAGTGAGAGAGTGGCTGCGTGGTTCTTAGTTACGGCTGGGCTTGATCCATGACAGGAATGAGTGCTATTCTTTCTCTCAAATTATATTATTGTATGGAATCATATTATTTTTAGTAAAACTGCAAATTCTGCAGGATAACTTTCAAATTTATTTTTGCTTACTTTTATAGACTGACAGTTCAGGATGTGTAGACTTGCTGTCTACTTTGTGATTACAGTAATGAGTCTGTGTATCAAGCTGTGTAATCATCCAGGTAGCTAATAATGTGTTTTCTGATCCAGATAATATGCTTCTATGCTTTCATCATTCCTATAGGAAGTATTAGAACTTTATTTGGAGTGGAATGGAGGGGAATGCAGTGTTTATAATGAATGACCAAATGTCTGTTGACGTGTGTTATGGTTACTTTACTGTGTATGCTTAAAAAAGGATAATTTCTGGAAATAGCCTGCTAAATGAGGTTCTGGTTCTTACTAAAATCAACCCATTGTGATGATTTAATTTTTCTATAGCTTTTCAACTAAATATAAAGATATTAGTTTATTATTTATTTAGCTAGGTTCAGGTGACCTCCTTGAAAGAAAAAAGACTGTGTACACTGGAGTTTTATTGTGTGTTTGTCATCTTTTGATTGTATTACCTTTTATAGAATCATAGAGTAATTGGGGTTGGAAAGGATCTTAAGGTCATCTAGTTCCAACCTCGCTGCTGTCGGCAGGAATGCCACGCACTAGGTCATGTCACTCAAAACTCCGTCCAACCTGGCACTGAAAACTGCCAGGGATGGAGATTTACCTCTTTTTAGGCAACCTCACCAGTGCCTCGCCAACTTCACAGTAAAGAACTTCTTCTTTATATCTAACCTTAACTTCCCCTATATAAGTTTGAGCCCATTACCCCTTGTCCTGTCACTACAGTCCTTAATGAAGAGTCCCTCTCTGGCATCCTTGTAGTCCTCCTTCAAACGCTGGAAGACTACGAGTTCTCCATGCAGCCTTCTCTTCTTCAAGTTGAACAGCGCCAATTTTTTCAGCCTGTCTTCATATGGGAGCTGCTCCAGACCCCTGATCATCCTCATGGCCCTCCTCTAGACTTACTCCCAACAGCTCCATGTCTTTCTTATGCTGAGGACACCAGAACTGCATGCAGTACTCCAAGTGGGGTCTCACAAGAGTAGGGCAGAGGGGCAGGATTGCCTCCTTTGACCTGGTGGTCACACTCCTTTTGGTGCAGCCCAGGATACGGTTGACTTTCTGGGCTGAGAGCACACACTGAAGTTGGCTTGTGTTCAGTTTATCATCTACCAACACCCCCACGTCCTCTGCAGGGCTGCTCTGAATCTCTCCTCTGACCAACCTATGGCTGTGCCTGGGATTGCCGTGACCCAGGTGAAGAACTTCTCACTTGGTTTGGCTGAACTTCATGAGGTTGCCACTGGCCCACCTCTCAAGCGTGTCAAAGTCCCTCTTGATCCCATCCCTTCCCTCCAGCATATCAACCGTGCCACACACCTTGGTGTCATCAGGAAACTTGCTGAGGCTGCATCAATCACACTGTCCATGTCACCACAAAGGTGTTGAACAAGATCAGTCCCAACACTGACCCCTGATGAGCACCACACTCTCCGGTTGGACATTGAGCCGTTGACCACAACTCTTTGTGTGCGGCCATCCAGCCAGTTCTTTATCCACCAAGTGGTTCATCTATCAAATTGATGTCTCTCCAGTTTAGAGAGAAGGATGTCATGTGGGACAGTGTCAAATGTTTTGCACAAGTCCAGGTAGATAATGTCCATAATTCCATCCCTAGGAAAGGATATTTGATTCCTCCAAATTGATCAGTGAAGAACTCAAGTGGATTTAAATAACAATACCCTTTCCCCCAAATTAAAACAAACAACAAAATTCTTTCACATAGAGGAGTCTTAAGGGCATTGTGAATTCAGTGATGTATCCTAGAAGCATTTCCCACAAAACTATCCTACAGAAGTGTCTTCAGTGGTCCAAAGCTTATGAAAAAAAATTAAAAGATCTCCTTAATTAGAAATCATTTCAGGGTAAAGATTGAGAGTTTTATCATTTTGTAGAAAGGACTCCCAGTGAAGGAACAATTGCCTCAATAAGGGCTGGTTTATTTGGTGGTGGTGTTTTTTTTGAAGAAGAGGTTAATATTTTTATCAGTGTGACCTGTAGAAGTTAATGCAAAAGAGAGGAATTATTACCCCTTAGGAAAGACCAAATAGAACTTTACAATACATTTTTGTGTTGTGTCCAGTACCTTAGTGTTGCCCATCGATGGGCCATATGTTACACACTAGTTACATTTTTGTATGCTTGATTTTTTTATTTTTATTTTGTATATAAAGCACACTGCATTGCCTATAACATTTATCATGAACAGTACTTATGAAACACTCACTTCCTGTACAGCCTATCCCATAAAGAGTACAGGATTTATACTCTACTAGAATCAATGTTTCCTTGACTCCAGTTCATGAGAGGCACGGAACTCTACTGCTTATTCCTGCATTCTTCTTAATCTATGTGGTTGCATCAGGATAGCATATGGACTAACACTGCTCTACTACAGATGAAAAATTGTACCTATGCTAAATGTCTTATGTAACTTAGCTTTTAACTCAGCTGGAGTGAGAGCAGGCTGTATGTACATGCCTCTCTCTGTGTTGCTTTCTGATTAAATAATAAGACTTTTGAGCCTTCTTCAGTCCACCTTTAGCTTACTCAGAAATTCCATAAGTGTCCCTGAGGAACAGACCATCTTTTTCATGATTTTCTAGAGGAAAAATGAGTTCATTTAAAGCCATCTTACATTGTTTCAATTTCACAGCTAATGGGTAAAAAAAAATTGAGTTAAAACCCAATTGTGTATGTAAAAGCTCAAAATACATTTTAAAATAAAAGAATTCATTTCAGCAAGATAATCCATTTCAAGTACTGTTGAGATTAATATATCTGCAGTCTGCAGCTGCTTTTTTTTGTTTTAGCTATGTTCTTAAGGGGGTCCATAGTACACAAGAAGCCCCCATGCGCTCAGTTTGACTTCAATTATTTTGCACTCCCAATTATTTTTACATAATGTGGAAGCTGATTTTTTAAATATAATGTAAAACTATGGAGATTGAATGTTCTAATAAAATTTGAATTTTGTTTCAGAGCAAAGTAGAAGAGATGATTTGGAAGCTTTAGGACATATGTTTATGTATTTCCTCAGAGGAAGCCTTCCATGGCAAGGTTTAAAGGTAGTGGTTTTTGATATCTTCCTCTGTCCTGTTTTCAGATCATCATCTTATCTTACTATGATCTTTTTCTTTTTGAAAGTTTGCCTGCAAACTGTATAACTTCAAAAGATTCTTTTGTTCTTGTGTCATAGGCCGATACATTAAAAGAACGCTACCAGAAAATTGGGGACACAAAACGAGCAACCCCTATAGAAGTATTGTGTGAAAGCTTCCCAGGTAATGCATACTGTTAATGAAAGTTAATGTCATGACATTGATTTAGAAAACAAAACTGGCATAGATAGTTGTTTAATATATGGTTTTAAAAATAAATATAATAACGCTTCCAAATATGTGTATTATGTACTATGGTAATAGATACAGGAATAATTCTTTGAAGTGGCAGTAAGCTAATGCTGGTGTTCTTCAAAGATAGCTTCTTCTAAAAGAAACATTAAAAAATTATACATACATTTATGATGATCAACTTGACTACACTTGTATCTTCACACATAAAATTTTGCACCTCAAGTTTGATAGCTTACCCATTTTTAAAACAAGCCGCATTAGGACCCGCTTGAAATAATATCTAAAGTAACTTGCAGGTAGTTTTAGGTGTCACTTCTAATTCAAGTGCATGAAGAATTGATGAGGTATTGGAAAATTGGAGAGAAACAAATTTGACATTTTTAAAAAGTTGGGTTAACCAGCTTGGCACGGGGGGACATGCACATGACACCAACATGATTTTTCCAGAATAAACACTCTGAAAAGTAATTGCAATATCATTGATAGGCTGAGAATATCATTGGATTTGCTGAGAATACCTCTGAGTGGTTTGATTTCCTTTTGTTGAAGGAATTCCTGTTCACAGTGGGCCCTGTGGACAGGAGGCAGATGTTTAATGTCATAACATTAAACATTTGTTTTTGATGCTCTTTTTAAATATCCTCAGAAGTAATAACCAAGATGAATCTACTATAGGAAGAAGAGTGTAAACCAATTTGAAATGAAGTACGTTGTTGCTGAATTGGTATTGCATAGACATCTATGAAACATTAAATGGTATTGCATAGACATCTATGTTGTATCTGTTCAGTATCTGAGAACTTTGTGTAATTGAGAATGTTTGTTAAAATTGCATATGGTAAGTTTGAAATCTGTAGGCTTGACAGTGGGAATAGAATTGAAGGATCCTGACAGATTAAAAATACAGCCTTAAAAATATAAGTATAATTCAGTAAATCATATTCAAGGTACTATATGAAGGTAAGATTGAATCCAGACTAAGAATTATTGGGTATAGAATGATTACTTAGGTAATGACTTAAAATCAGTTCCAAAGTAAGTGCAAGTGAACAGTATCATGCTTCTGTATTAAAAAAAGGGGAAAAAAATCCCAAAACTGTATACTAAATCAGATTATATGAACAGGGTATAGCCTGAGAGACACATGAATTGCCATTTCCACTCTACTTGGTTCCACAAAGCATCAGCTAAAGAAGTGTGTTCAATTTTGGGGACTCTACTTGAAGAAAATATGTCTTATTTTAAGGGTATCTCATAGAGAAGTGGGAGTTCTTATGTGCAATATTTGCTAGACTTATCAACAAAGACTTGAAGAAATAAAGATTGTTTTAGTCAAGATTGTGAGGGAAAGAAGTTCTGTAACTTTTGGCTACTACAGACATGAAAGGGATCGCTTTGCTACGTCCACAGCAGCTCAACAATGTAATGGATGTAATTCAAAACAGTTTAGATTTGAACTCCTCCTGTGTTTCAGGTATAGTGTGAACACAAAGGGATTGCCATTACAAGGAAGACTGTGGAACTTCTTTCACTAGGCTGTGTGAAAACAAACCAGACAGACAAGGATGTGAGATAGGGTGATGTAGTTGATGACCTTTTGAGATTCTTTTCAACCCTGTGGTAAAAATGAGTCCACTATCAACTTTTCTTATGTTTTGCATTTCACTTTCTTCTGTGTATTAAAAAAAAAAAAAAATTAAGTGAAATTGACTTTGGTTACAGAAATTAGAGCAAGTGTCCGAACATATGTTTGGTGAATTAGTGAAAGTTTAAATGCAGAGGGAAAAGCCTGTTCTGTAGTGTAAGTCACCTGCATCAGGAACGCATTCATCTTACATGTTGATTTTTACCTAGTTGCTAGAATCCTTTAAGTATGTAATTTAAGGTGTATATGGTGCAATTCCTGGAAATAATAATGCCTGAGTAGCTCCATATATCTAGTGACTGTTTCCACCAAATTTAATCATGTACATGCTTGTTGACAGGATTGAAAATGAAACAGAGAAATGATACTTGACCTTGAAGAACACTAAAGATAAACTTCTTTGATAGCACATTTTTATAATAAATATGTTCTTGTATGTGGAAGTTTTTGCATGTTAGGTATCTGAGGATTTTCCATATTTTCCTATCCGTCTTGTCACTCAAAACATAAAATAATTTCAATTCATTTCAGTCAGCCTGCAGATTGAGATAGCTGATTTATGTCCACAAAGCAAGAGAACACTAGCATCAGTGAAAGATAATTTGGTCTCTGTCACATGTATAATACCTACCATTTTCATCCTCTGTTCTGTGGAATTGTACTGTCTTTGAGTGTGCAACACTGCTGCTGTTTAAAGCTTCATATAATATATGAGCAAGGATTTAAACTCTGGAGTTTCTTTATCCATTGCATGATAAGGGTGGTGTTTGATTTTTGGAATCAGCCAGCTGTGACACATTCAGGTGAATTAAGTGTCTCTGATCCAACCTTCATTCCTCTGAAGACATGCCTTGCTTGCTTTTGTTTCCACTTTACATTGAGAAGGTATGGTTAAAAAGGTCCCTAGCAATGTCTGAATATTTCTCCTTGCCTTCTTGAAAAGCTGACCTCCTTGGCTAGAATTCCTGAAGAGTTTTGCTTGTATGCTGAAGTAGCCCTTAGATGCCAAGGAATTCCTCCTAGGCAGTGCTCTGTCTGCTAAAATATAAAATATACTCTGTTTTTGTCAGAAATAAGTAATTTGGGTTTTCTTGGCACCCTGGTCCTGAGGTGCATTCTTGACAGCACCAACATGATGTTGCCTCACAACTTTTTATTATCAAGCTGGCCTCAAACCTTCACTTGTCCCTCTTTCAACCCCACTCTCTCTGAAGAAGTTCAACTTGGAATAGCTCCATCTTAGCACTGCCTCTGCACTTCTCAGCCATCTTCTGTCGGAAGATGGGTTTCTTACAGCCCCTTGTTTGTACTATAAAATGTAGGGTTCTCCAAATTTACTGGAATGCGATGTGGGTGAGTGTACAGTGATACTACTGGGCTGCTTCTGACATACATACCTCTTTCATAGGATCAGTGAGTTCATGTGGCATCTACTTTTGACCTCATTCATCTTGTGACTTTCTTGTCACATACAGGTGGCTTCTCATGTACTTTGGGACCATGCGAAAGCCTTTTTGACTTGAGAATGTGTTGTCATTTCTCAGAATGGCTTGCCAGTGGGTGGTTTCCCACTCTTTTATGAGTTACAAAGCTTCCTAAACAAGTTAGATTTTAAGAGATTTGTCCACCTGGAAATAATGTCCCAGGGCTCAGGTCAAGTGCTTCACCTGATCCATATCAGATTGTGAGAAGCTTTTGCAGAACTCTGTTCCAAACCACTACAGTGTGAATATCTTCTGCAGTGGAAGGACCTGTAGAACTTGGTCTTTTGTGAAAGTTTATTAGCATTTATCTCTTATTACCATCTGCTGTTTTCTCAGACTTGTATTTCCACATTCCCCTAATTTCACTGGCTCCTGAAGGAGTTACTGAAAATGTACATTTGTCATATAGTATTGTACATAGTCACATGTCTGAGCAGCTTCTGTATGGGATTTGAAGCTTGTGCTTCAGATATTCATGAGTCCTCCCTTTCAGCCCTTGGATTCTTGTATTATTCTACCCATTAGGATGCTTGTTCCTTACAGCTGTTTTCTCAGAAGCCTTTCATGGCTTAAACCCATTCTCAAGAATGGAACTTCTGTATGCTTTACTAACCTGCCAAGAAGTTTGCGCTGGAACTTCTGTCTTAGCTAGCCTGGTTAGGTTCTGGCAGCTAGTGTGCAGTCTACTTCATACACTTTAATGACTAGGAAAGTTCTTTCCTGTTATCTTTACCGGTCCTGGCTCTTTCAGAATCTTCCTGGTTATCTCCACTACTGGGAGAATCTTGTAATATCCATGTAACATCTCCTAACATCTCCCAGAATGCATCTCCATTTGTATGCTGACATGGTATTTAAACAGTGATATTAAACTGACATATCTGACCAGCTTTCTGCAAAAGCTCAGGTAACAGTAGTATTTTTCTGCAGTGTTTCTGTATAGGATAATTGCTATTTCTGCTCAACACCTTCACATAGCTTGATGCTTGAAGCATTCAGCACTGTTTCAGCCTTCCATCGTCATACTACAGTTACAGCTCAACAGAGCCTATACTGAATTATTTGTGAGGGAAATTGGCGTTGCCCACTTGTGGTATATGTAGATCCTCTAAATAAAGAATGGTTAGATTCCAGTAGCAGATGTTCTTTGAGAGACGAGACTACCTTGTAGATTCGTATACCCCCTTCTTTCCTTTTCTTAGGCTTGTCTTTGTAAAATTAATCGGAAAAGAAAAATAAAATTGGAAAGTAGAGGTGATTCTCCACTTTTTGGCACACTGTGCATCAGGACTGGAAGGTTGAATGGAAGATCTTGACAGGTAAATTAGTGTAGGGGTTGCTTGGTAAGATATGTTTAGAATATGGCAATTTATTTTGAAGAATATTATTACTATTCTGTAACGTTTCTGGTAAGTCACAGATTCGTGGTGAACAACTGTTCAGATATTATGGTGAGAGATAGAAGTTACTTTAAAATGTAGTAGTAAGTTTTGATTTTTGAGTGCCTTTTAAACAGGTATGGCAATTATGTACATTTCTTATTTATGTAGAAGAAATGGCTACATACCTACGTTATGTAAGAAGGCTAGATTTTTTTGAAAAGCCAGACTATGACTACTTAAGGAAGCTCTTCACAGACTTACTTGATCGGAAAGGCTATGTGTTTGATTATGAATATGACTGGATTGGCAAACAGTTGGTGAGTACAGTATAAGGTACTAGTAATATGCGAGGTTTTTTTGTGTGGTCAGTTTTGAGCCATTGTTAGTCTTGAGTTTCAGAATACTGTGCATTTCATGGCTGCTGTTATAGATGTGAACAGCTGCTATGACAAACCCGTTTTCAGATGCATTTTCAAACATCATTATTCAGCTTGAGATGTTTCATATTGAGTCTCTTTTCAAACATACACTCTTTAACATCAAAGTATATCTGTTCAATCCGAAATGAGGTTATAGGAACTCAAGACTGGTTTTTGTGTTGAAGGAGTTTAAAGCAAAGGAGTTTAAAACTTTGTAGGTGATCGTTGTTATTGCATGCATTTTCCTGCCTTGGGGACTTCCTTGCTCCCAGTATTCTCAACATGTAGAGGAACCACTTCTCTGCGCCTGAGGTATATATACTCCAGATATTTATGTTTGTTATGAAGAAATTGTCTATATGCATTGTTTTATTCAAATATGACGTAGAATATTGGTCTCCATCACAGTACATCTAAAGTTACAGAAAATGCAGTGTTTGTGGGTACAAGATTAATTTTGCAGCACCTCAAATTTTTCCTTATTTCTTTTTAATAAATAGGGAAGGGAGTTCTGTGTATAAGTTCGACAATTTCAGATTAGACATTAGTTTAGTTCAAATTAGACATTAGACAAGTTTCTTGTGTAATTCTCTGAAAGCATCATAGTATTTTATTGCTAAATCTTTTTTCAGTGTTTAGCATTAAAAATCACTTCAAGCCTTTCTTTCAGGCTTTTACCAGAATGTTGTAAGGGCTACCTGCAGAAAATAATCAGCCTAGAGTCTTTCAGAGAATTAACGTCTGATGTAGTCAGAATTGCTAATTCTAAAATTATGTAAGTCTTGGTTTGCCCTCTTTTTCTGACTGGTGTTGGCAAATACCTAGTAAAGATTTTGCTTTAATTTGATAATTTTAATTAATTTCTATTACAAACCAGTTACTTTAGGTAAGACTTAGAATTACCTTTTGCTACGTATTATTTATATTTGTAGCCTACTCCAGTGAGTTCAATACATTCAGACCCTGCACTGTCTTCAAACAGAGAAGTGTATCAACACAGAGATAAAATGCAACAATCTAAAAATCAGGTAAAGTATCTCATATAAGTATCAGCATTGCTTTGTCTTTTGCCTAACGATTTGTGGTATATTGTTGCTTTTGTTAAAACTCCAAAATAAAATTGACTCTTTGTCTTTGGTTTAAGTAGATCCTTATTAGTGTATTTCTACATCTCTAGACCTTAAAATGTCCTGAAAGGTTGCTTGTTTGGTGCTATGGTACAGCATACTGATACTTCTTTCAGTTTTAATCACTGTCTCTTCCCTATATGCTATATCATCTCTTGAGGTTCTAACATGCATGTAAAATGTTTACACTTTTGTTTTTTTCTGTTGTTTTTTGTTGTTTTTTTTTTTTTTTTAGCCAGGGTAATGACCAAGGTGGTAAAAGCATTAGGAATTTAGATCTGTGTCCCTTTATTTAAGCTAAATAACAGGGTTGTGTTGGACTTCGTTTCTTAGTTTCAGCTACTTTGCTGCTGTGTGAAAATGCATGTGTAGGCATACATAAGTATGCATAAAATCTTGATGTACAGCATATAGAGGAATTAGTGTTTCTGTGCTTTTTAAAAATAATACATGTATAATTGTTAATTTTTGGATTTTTTTTCTTTTTTTTCATATATTCCTCATGCATTGAAAAATGACAGTCAACAGATCATAGGGCAGCTTGGGACTCACAGCAAGCCAATCCACATCATTTAAGAACTCATCTAGGAGCTGACAGACATGGTGGCTCAGTACAGGTATTTTTCTTCTTCTTTGCATGACTTAATCAGTCATCTTACATTATGTAATACTAGTTTCCTGTAGTGCATGACAGGATTACTATTTTCATATTAAGCTCTCTTTCCGGTAATGTTCAGAATGTTCCTATTATTCCCTACTCCACAGTTGCCTAGCTGAAATAAAATCAGGTACAGAAAACTGTGTATCTTTATGTATGTGGAATTTCTGATATGTGTTTCTTAGTGACAGCTAAACCAACGGAGCTTTCTCTTTTTGAAGGAATATAGATTTAGATCAGGGCAAGCAACTGAAGTTTAGACTTTTGATGTGCTCTTTGGTTGTATTAACAACTAAACCACTGTTGACTGAATCCAGTGTTGTCCAGCCTTCCCCCACCCCTGCTATTGCAGGGTGTTGGAACTCCATGATCTTCCAACACAAACCATTTGTGGTTATGATTTTTGCTCTTTAAGCAAACCTCAAAGTGTTGAGTAGTGATTTTTGCTTAAACTCTGCTACTTTTGTTCAAACAATAGTTGACTAGAAGAATGTTTCACAGGGCAATACTTAACACTTATCAATGGAAAATGAATAGAAACCAACAATTTTTTTCGTTGTTATTAGTGTTTTTCATCTTTAAAGAGCTTTTTTTCCTGGTTTGCTCATAATTTTATTATTTGGTGTCTTGTTCTTTGAATATATTTAGGGGTAAGATGGTTGGAATAATATTTCAAGAAATAGAAGTTTTTTATAGAAGAATTCAAAATGCTAGCTGTGAAGTCTATATGAAGTTTTGGGGTTTCACTCCAAAATTAAAACTATTTAGCTTTGTAAAGTGTTATCTGGGGAAATGTCATGGTTTAACCACCTGGCAGCCAAGTACCGTGCAGCCACTCTCTCACACTGCCTTCCTCCCTTCTTGGGTAGGATGGGGAGGAGAATCCAAGGAATGTAAAACCCATGGTTGAGGTAAGAACAGCTTAATAATAGAAATAAAGTGCAATGTAATACTAATAATGATAGGGGAAATAACAAGGAAAGGACTATAAAACTAAAACAGAAAAGGGAGAAAAAAAAACAATAAACAGCAGTGATGCACAATGCAATTGTTCACCACCCACTGATCAATACCCAGCCTGACCTGGGCAGTAATCTGGGCCTTCTGGGTAAGTCATCCCATTATGTGCTGTGTTATGGAATACCCCTTTAGCTAGTTTTGGTCAGGTGCCCTGTCTCTGCTTCCTCCCGGCTTCTTGTGCCCCTCCTCACTGGGAGAGCATGAGACTGAAAAGTCCTTGATCAGGGTAGGTGCTACTGAGCAACACCTGAAACTTCAGTGTGTTACTGGCATTGCTCTCAGACTGAAGACAAAACAAGAATTGTGCTGGTTACTAGGAACAGAATTAACTCTATCGCAGAAGAAACCAGGACAGGAAAAAAATACTTTCTTTGTCTGCTGCATTGTTGATTCTGACAATCCTAAGTTACATATGTTTCTCATGAAGTTTTACTTTGGATAAAAATTGACAATGCTTGAAGAAAGAACGAGAAATCCAGGGGTAAAGAAAACAGTGCTGTAGTCTCATCAGTGTGATAATTCCGTATCTTTTAAATTCTTTGAAACCCAATTCAAACTTTACAGTTTCTAAACTTTGCTGCTTTAGAAACTGCTGTCATATAAGAAAATTATCAGATAATAATTAATCACTGTGTATCAGGAAAAATTTAAAAATTGTTCTGTTCTTGCCTTAAGGAGCTTTTCTAAAACTTTACCTGGATATTTAACTTGAAGTGCATTTGCTCCCTCAATAACATTAGTTTTAAAAGTAGTAATTTATCTTTTGAGAAGTGTATTAATTGAATCAAAACTAAATTCAAAATTGTGTCTTCCAAAATTATTAAATTGCTTATTTTTTTTAATTTTTAGGTTAGAAAAATAGATATTTAACTTGTTAAATTCCAATTACTGGAACTTCCAAAATTTATAACATATTGCTCTTTTGGCAGTTGGAGCACTTAAGAAGCCTTTTATTTTTTCTCAGGTAGAATGTAACAGTTGCAGGAGAATTTATTCCATTGTAATAGATGTTAAACACTCTTTGGGAGTAGAAAAATATTTTCTAGGAAATACCAGTACTATTCCTTTATATTAATATAATGTTCCTCCTTTCATTCTCAAAGAATGTGGGTGTTCTGAGATCAGATCCCTTAGATCACCTGAGACTAAGCAGTTGCCATGTAAAAAGTGCAGTTTTCAGAAGTGCAGCCACTTGGTCTGTCTTTGAAGATTAAGTCTATTTTCAAGACATCTTAATTGTGGAGCTGTCATGCTTCTCATTAAAGGCACTTACAAAACCACATAGTATCTTCAATTTTGTTTTGAAGTTTGAGCCCTTGACTGTTGTCAAATACCCCTTTGTTGTAGTGGTTCTGACTGAATCATGCTGTTAAGTCGGACAATTAGCTGGCTAGTTTAGCTGAATTCCTAAGTGCCCCCAGGAAGACAAGTTCTAAAAGTGCCACAGATAATTGTTCAAAGGAAGGTTGAGTCTAAAGTATGAAATTCAAGTGTATTTTTTTTTTCTGTAACATTAGTGAGTCAGTGCTCATCTTTGAGATCCATTGAATTATCCATTTTTCTGCAAGAAGAAAAAAAAACCTGGCAGGTAATTTGGAAGTGACAGAATGTTTTTCAGGTCTCTGCTACTAGTCATTTGCAATACCACTGCTGGTGTTGTCTCTAAGATCCTTTTTTAGAAGGTTGTTAAAGTATGTTAGTGATACGAACCTGTTGGAGTGAGTCCAGAGTTGGGCCAAAAAATGGTCAGTGGGCTGGAGCACCTCTGCTGTGAAGGTGGGCTGAGAGAGCTGGGCTTGTTCATCCTGGAGAAGAGAAAGTTCAACGGAGATCTTCCAGTACCGAAACAGGGTCCACAAGAAACCTGGAGAGGGACTTTTTGCAAGGAAGGGCATATAGGGACAGGACAAGGGGGAATGATTTTAAACTGAAAGAGTGGAGATTTAGATAAGATATAAGGAAGAAATTCTTCAGAACTATAAGGGTAGTGAGTCACTGCAACAGCTTGCCCAAGGAAGCTGTGCTGTCCCATCCCTGGAAGTGTTCAAGGCCAGGTTGGACGGGGCTTGGAGTAACGTAGTCTAGTGGAAGGTGTCCCTGCCTGTAGCAGCAAGGTGTGAACTAGATGATCTTTAAGGTCCCTTCTAACTCAAACCATTCTATGATTCTTCACTGTGACATTTTAAATTGAAGTGAACTGAATGTTGGTATGTGTGTAGTATGCCAGCCCGTTTTTCTGGTTGGTGTAGCCTTATTAATGAAAGTAGTTTGTACCTACCAGAGTTTATTCAGCTACTTCCTGTGTCTGTCTTCTTGTAAACTTGGCTCAGTTCCCAAAAATGTCAGTTGCACAACACCAAACTGTTTCCTTCTCTGCATGAACTGCAAACTGCTTATGCACTCATAATGACTGTACTAATCTGTTCTCTTTTTTTTTTTTTTTTTCATGACTGGCTAGCTGGTCTCCTTTCTCTTATTCTTTCTGTTTTCCCATTTGGAAATTCTTTAAAAGGAGGTTAAATTAAAAGATCAGGTTAAAGAGTTCCACATGGCTTGAAAGGTTCTTAGGAACTGCTTGAAAGGTTAGATATTTGATACAAATTGCAAGACATCTCTCCTTAAAGAAGTCAAGATAGCTGTGAATTAGATGAAACAAATCAATTTCCCTAAGCTTTTGTGAATTAAAAAAAGTTAATTCTAGTGTAACTATTTTTTTATTTTTTATTATTCTTTTTTGTCTTAATTGGAAACTTTTTGAAGGTAAAATGCAGCATTCTGTAGTATCACTAAAGAATTGCTTGGGCTTGAAGGCCAGCTTTATTATTTGAAGAGTAGATAATTCAGTGACTGAGATGGGTAATGAAAAAAAGGATTATATCTATGTCTTTTTCAAAGTACTGCAATTTTTTATTGTAATTTTAAGCATGAAAACCAGCAAAATTTTGGTTTATGAGAGACTTTTGGAGTTATTTTTCAGCATAGCAAATAAAAGATTAGTTTACATACTAATCCAAAACAAAACATGGGACTAGCTAGATTTACTGTTACTATCTTGAGAACTGGTATTCAGGCTTGCCTCTGTTGTCTTTTAAGCGGCCCTTGTCAGGCTTCTGAAGGACCATATATTTAAGAAACTACCCTTTCCAGCAATTGATATGTCTTCTTATTAGGTAGCAGGGCTAGTATTCTGTTTGCCATATGCCTAAAGGATAGCAAGAAAGATGATGCATGTGCTTCTTCATGTGTGTGCTTTTCAAATTAAAGTTTTAAAGAACTGATTAAATTTGAAGAAACTAAATTTAAACCATTATAAGATCTGTTATCAAAGTGCTTAAAGTTGTTTCATATTTTTCAGTTTAGTGATTAATCTTCCATTTATATATAATTGGGTACCTTGAGTTAATCTTCAGCATTGCAGCACTTCTAATTTGAAACTTAGTTTGAAATATTAGTCTTCAGAAACTGAATTATGTGAAATTTGGTGACTTTTCATTGAAAAATGTTCATGTAGTTTTAGTCAACAAAATTTTTAGGTGCAGAAATGTAGCTTCAATATCCGCATTTTTCTCGACAACTGTATACGAATCTATTAAAGAGATTAATTATGCCTCCCATCTTTTATTAGGCTGCTGAGAAAATCCAGTCCAACTCAAGTCATAAGTAGAGAAATGAAATTAAAAGTTTCTGTTTAAGCAGTATTAGTTTTGTGTATTGGGTCTTCTCTCTTCTTTTCCAAAGTTACAGCTTTTAATGTAGATCCACTATGATGCATTTTGTTTGTACCTTGTTTATGGTACATCCTGGCTACAGAATTTGGTGTACCATACCTTCAGTGCAAACACTCTTCCAGGTGACTTACTCTGATTCAGTTTTGTTACATTCCCATATCTTTCCACCTGTGTCATGATAAGTTTTGAGATGAATGGCATGTAGTTAGAGAGAGAGAAGTGTAATGGTTGGTCTAATTTAAACCTGTGTGCACCAAGTTCAGGTGTGTACAAGTGTTCTCACTGCTTCGTTTACCGTGCATTATCAGTCTATTACCAAATGCACTTTTTGGTCAAATTGCAAAATAGTTTACTGATGTCACAGGGAATTAACTTCTGGCATTGTAGGTTATTTTATCAAATTACAGAATTTTCAGTTGTAAGATCATACAGTTGAATAATGTTACTGCTACAGGAACTAAAGCAGTGCTGCCTGCCTCTTGTTGTGCTTTTGAATGAATCTTTATTGTTTTTTAAAAAAATGTAAATATTTTGCTCTGTTGCAGGTGTATTAATTTTTGGTTCTGCATCTTACTGAGACCATTCTTATAGTTCTTTTCAGCAGTAGTAGACTAGATTGAAACTCAGGCCATTTGTGATTCTGGAGAAGCTTGACTGATGCTGGTTTTTGGACTACCAGTAAATAATACCCTTTGGTTTGTTTACACTTTCAGAGGTCTCATCTCTTTCCAGAAGGATGAATGTCATTTCCTTTTATCTAAACTAAGCCATACAATAGGCAGTTATACTTGATTGTATTTGGTTGTGTATTTGGTGGATGTGTCAGGTGTTTGTATATGGGAAGGACAGAAGACTCCTTGATCTCTGTCTCCTTGACAGAGACAAACCAGGGGAAGGCAGGGCAGTCTTCTGCTCACTGATTCATTTATACAAAGTTTGTATCAAATATTCTTAGAGGAAACAGTCAAATTAATAAGAAAACACCTTAGGGCAAGTGCCTTGAAAAGAAAGACTTCTCCCACAATAATTTGCTAAAGTAGAATTCCTACCTGACACTGAATGTTTAGTGCTTCTGCCATCCCCAGTGATATGAAATTAAGCTTAAACCACCATATTGAAACTCTACTGACTTCCCTGGCATCATAGAAATAAAGTCCAATCTCCCAGAATTCTTCAGTTATATTGTCCAGGATTCAAATAACTAGTCTTGGAATCTCACATTTCCTTTTGCTATATCACTGGGCTGCATGGGGGTTTTGGCAGTGTTTCCTATTCTAGTGAAACTTGAAAAAGAAGAAAACTCAGCCTGTTGTAGACATGTGGCATGAAAAATGGCTTAGGTTCAGCAATCTTTTGAAGCTCTGTACTTGGTTGCAATAGGAACCACAAAGCAAACCTCAATATGCAAGGCTCTGTTAGCTCAGGTTATAAATAGATAAGGCATAACTCCCACATTAGGAGGAGAGCTTGGAAGGGTGAGGGGAATAGCAACATTATGATGATGATGACTTTCCTTCTCTTTGCTTTCTTCTACCTTAATCTCTGATAATGTCTTCCAGATGTTTTCTGAAGGCTTTTATATTCACCAGAACAATATTTTTGTGTAATGTTCCTTGGCCAGTAATTTTGCTGATACTTTGTACCTAGTAGACTTCTTGGTACTCTAATGAGTCAGTTAGCACTGTCAACTCCCCTGACCAGATTTACACTTGTCTGTATCTACTTAACCATCTTCCTGGCAGATCCTGTGAGATGAATATGCAAGATGCCACTAGAATAGCTTCATGCAGAAAAGCTGAGAGAGAATGCTGGGTTACATTTAAAGTCAAAACAAACATTCCCAGAGAATCAGAGCTGTCCTGATGGCTCAAGAATTTACAAAGGAATTTGAGAATAAATGAATGGGAATTAAGATGAATCTAAATTTTTTTTTTTTTTTTTATGGCAGTAAATGTGCTCGTGCTCAGATAGTGAAAAACAAACACCACCAACACTCTTAGGTCTAGAAAATGTCTTAAATTTCCCTTCCTTTGGTGAGTACTCTTTGAAGTACAGCTGAAAAGGGCCACACAGAAAACTAAGAACCTTAAATGCACTAAAGAAGCAGAGATAGGGTAAGACAAGACTGACTGAACTGATACCAGGAAAGAGGCTTGCACCTTCCCTTAAGGCTCTGAAGAGACATGAGGGAGATGAGCAAACCTGATAACAGAATTGCTTTGCTTAGTTCTTTCTCTTTGAGTCTGCCATGTAGTTGTCAGTTCCGCTGGTAGATACGAAAGAAGAATGAAAGGAGTGCAGGGATGCAGGAATAGAACGTGGAAAAGATACTGTTACTGGAATAAAAAGAATTATGGAATAAACAAAAATGACCATTTTTTTGAAGATGTATCTATGGCATTAGCATAATTTCAAGTATTTCTTGTGATTTCAGGTAGTAAGCTCAACAAATGGAGAACTGAACACAGATGACCCAACTGCAGGCCGTTCAAATGCACCCATCACAGCTCCTGCAGAAGTAGAAGTACTGGATGAAACTAAGTATGTCCATCTTTTTATTTTCTTAGGATCTTGTGTGCTCAGCTGAATCAAAATTTTTATTGTATAGTAATTAAAAGATATTTAAAAAATACCACTGGTGGGTGGCAAAACTATAGTGCTATACTCAATTTTGGCTTTAAATACTTAAATAATAGATTTTTTCTGACTTGTGCTTTTTAGGCTAAGCCCTCAGTAACACATCTCTACACTAGAGAAGTGCATGTGTTTTTGATGTTTCAATTAATTTTGAAATAATTATTTTAAGATAGTTTTCTGACTATCAAATTACGTATGAAAGATGTAAAATTCTACCTCTGTGTTCCTTCTGATTCTCTTGTTTTCCTCTTACACTCTTTCTGTATAGCTGCCAGAAAGTGTTGAACATGTGGTGAGTTCTACAGCACATGCAGGCAAAAGTAGCCCTAGGGGCTTTGTTTTTGTTAGTTGGTTTACAGCTGATGTCAGAAATCTTTAAAATAACAAATCCACTTGAAAATCACATAATAAGTTTTATTAAAAAACTATTTTTACAGTTACACCTTCGGGAGCTGTTTTGCCTGCTTCAAATCTTCCTTGCTTTTAAGTTGTGTAGTCTGTAGTGTACTTTATTTAATACTCTTAAGTGAGTAGTAGAATATTTTCCTACTTGCTGTCCTGTTTTAGAGTGAAAAACATTCTTTCCAGATGTTGTAGCATTCAAATAGTATTTTAACATCTAGATAATAACTCATTTTTATAAGCAAGTAACAAATGCTAGAAAATACTTGAAATTTGCCCATTGTCTCTGAAGCATAGTATTTACCAGAGTATTAGTCTTTGACAACCTGCTAGCAAATTACTAAAACGTAACTTCAGGTTTCCTTAAAGTCACAGTGTAATGAAAATGGGAAAATATTAAGGTCTGTTAACATGGGATGAACAACTTACGCATATATGTTTGAGTGCTAAAGTCAGACTTGCAAAATATTCTTCATAGTTAAAGGCAGTATAACTTTCAAGATGATTTTTTCTATAATATAGCTTGAAATAGGATTTTACAAAGGTATGGATCTAGTTTATCATGAAATAGAGGCACTCAAGTATGAGAGATAAATCACTAGCATATCAACCCAGTAACGATTCATTAATAGCAATAAATTTTGTAGGAGCTATTTTCCCAAGTTTTAGATAAAGTGAAATATCTCAAAGTAAATTTTTTTCTTGAAGTTATTGTTCTGCAGATTCTGGTTTTTGTATATAAGATTTATGTGCATGTGTAGTTAAAAACTGTGAATGGAGGTGTCTCTTGTGCCACACTTGTGCACTAGGTTTCTGTGAGCACTGGTAAGACCACTTCTGTACCTGCCATCTTCAGAGTACTGTATTATTATTATTATGGCAGGAATTCACTTTTCTTATTTATATATTATATATATATATTTAAAGCAAAAAAAGACCCCAAAAAGCAAGGATGTTGATGGACTGCACATAGAGCAATCCCCTATCCCTTCCCTTTGGATAAATGCTGTGATAACCTTCCTTTTGTCCAGTTTATGTACACACAGGAAAAGATTGAATTTCTAAAGTTTTGAGTACTGCTTACCACAATTTAAATTTATACTTAGTTATCCACAGAAAGTAAGAGAATTCTCAGAAGCCAAGGTGCTGCAGCTGCTTTAAAAGCATAGAAGCTCATTTCCTCTGATAGGAATAACTGATAGACAAATATGCTATCCTTTATAGCATAGTCTTTACAGGTTTTGTTACAGACAAATACCTAGTTTCAGTATCCTACTCTTTAATCTTTTTCAATATGAAACACACAGATGAATTTTCCAGTGGTGTCTATGTAAACTGCAATTTCCTCATTCACTATTTTGGTTTAGTTTTTGTGTGGTTAGATTAGTTTTTATATTTTGGCAGTAATTAAAGAAATACACACACCCAGCATTGCTGTCAGACATCAGTGTATAGGTATGCATCTTTTTATCAGTAATAGTACTTTAGAAGGTTTAAGTAATTTTACATTTTAATATTATAGTTAGAAGCTTGATATCAAAAAGTATTGTGAGACATTTTAACATCTATTTGTAGATCTTACGCTGCTGAAGATTATGAGGAAATTCAAGTATTAGTATTTTTTATGTCTGTGATATAGACATTTCTGTTTTAAGAAGCTGTTGTATCAAAAGCCTCTCACTTTGTGCCTCTTCCATAATCTTTTCTCCATCTGAAAATATTAACAAAACTACCATCTCTAGCTGATACCTGATTTGTAACATTTCCTCATAATTAGAGGAGACGAGCATGGATATTTTTTAGAAACATTTCATTCTTTGCTCTAGATGTTTTCATAGTTTTAGAAGCTTAGCGTGGCTATGTCTTCATTTAAAAGTCTGAAGAAATGGTGCCCTGTTGTGTGACTTTTAACTATGAAAACAAATATTGTTTAGCTGAATATTAGATCTTATGTTACAATTTCAGTGGGATGCTGTAAATCAGAAAGGATAAGGATTTTTTTTCAGTAAGCATTTTATCGTTTTGGGACATTCACCCAACACTTCCATTGTTTGATGTGTATTTAAGCACTCACATGCAGCATATATTCTAAATCTTATGCTTCATGCATCTTTGCTGTTGCTGTGTATAAGTAGCAAGCATGACTTAACAGTGGGGGTTGGGCATTGGGTTTTTCAGTGGGCTGTGGGAGTTTTTTTGTGTGTGTGTGTTTGTTTTTTGGGTGGGGTTTTTTTTTTTGTGTTGTTTTTGTCAAAAGTAGCTTTCATCCCTATTTCAGTTACTACTGAGTGTAACAACTAGAGTTGTAAAATAGGGAAAAGACTAACCTGATCACTGTTCTGAACTGATACTGATACTGAACAGATGGTCTTCCAGTTATCACTGATCAGTTAGCCTTCTTCCTTAACTCTTTGCTAGCCATCAGCCCAGTTGCTTCTATGAAGCATGTGTGATTTGGATAAACAAAAGGCCCTCCCATGGGATGACAGAAATGGTCAAACAGGAAAAGATGGTTTGATCTGTCCTTTTTGCATTTTGCATTCTTTTTCTCACTTTACTGAAAGATTAAAGTTTGGGCATCTTGGACATGGGATCCAAGTTTGTAGGCCATATCTACAGGGGGGAAGAGCAGTTTTGGTAGGAGGCTTGCCAGACTGGTCAAGGAGGCTCTAAACTAGATGTGTTGGGGGAGGGGGGCATCATTCCATCACAACAAACCCAGTGAGTTGCCGGCACCTATAATAAATGCTTGGAGCAATGCAGAGATATTCCAGCCACTCCAGCCTTCAGGCTTCATTTGGAGCTCGGCTCAGATGCCTCTATACAAATGCCCATAGCATGGGGAACAAACAAGAAGAATCAGAGATGTGTGCACATCTACGGGGGTATGGTATAATAGGCATCGCAGAAACATGGCGGGATGGCTCCTGTGACTGGAGTGTTGGAATGGAAGATTACAGGCTCTTTAGAAAAGACAGGCCTGGCAGGCGGGGAGGGGGAGTTGCCCTTTATGTTAGGGATAGGCTGGAGTGTATGGAACTCTGTCTGGGGACAGGTGATCCGTTAACAGAGAGTTTTTGGGTCAGGGTTAAAGGGAGAACAGCTATGGGAGACATTACTGTGGGGATCTGTTACAGACTGCCTGATCAAGGAGAACCTGCGGATGAAGCACTCTACAGAGAGATAGGAAAAGCCTCACGCTCACAGGCTCTTGTTCTCATGGGGGACTTCAACCACCCTGACATCTGTTGGAACAACAGTACGGCCTGGCACAAGTAATCCAGGAGGTTCCTCGATTGTGTGGAAGACAACTTCCTTCTGTAATTAATAGAGGGGCCGACAAGGAGAGGTGCCATGCTTGACCTCGTGCTCACCAACAGGGAAGGGCTCGTTGGAAATGTGACGCTCCAGGGCAGCCTTGGATGCAGCGATCATGAGATGGTCGAATTCGAGATCCTCAGGACAGTGAGAAGAGCGTGCAGCAAGCTCACTGCCCTGGACTTCAAAAGAGCAGGCTTTGGCCTCTTCAGGAACCTGCTTAGGAAGGTTCCATGGGATATAGCCCTAGAGGGCAGGGGGCCCAAGACTCTTGGTTGATATTCAAGGATTATCTGCTACAACCTCAGGAGTGATGCATCTCAACTAGAATGAAGTGCAGCAGAAGGGCCAGGAGACCTCCTTGGATGGATAAGGAGCTGCTGAGGAAAATTCAAATGAAAAAAGGGGCTTATAAAAGGTGAAAGCAAGGGCAGGCAGCCTGGGAAGAGTACAGGGATGTTGTCTGGGAAGCTAGGGACCAGGTTAGGAAAGCTAAGGCCCAGTTAGCATTAAACTTGGCTACGGATGTTAAGGATAACAGGAAGGGATTCTACAGGTACGTAGCAAACAAAAAACTAGAGACAACGTAGGCCCCCTCAGGAAGCTACCAGGAGAACTAGCTACACAGGAATTGAAGAAGGCTGAGGTTCTCAGTGGCTTCTTTGCCTCGGACTTCTCTGGCAAAGGCTCTGTCTTCACCACCCAAGTCTTGGAAGGCAGACGCAGGGACTGTGAGAATGAAGACCTTGTGCCCACTGTAGGAGAGGATCTGGTTTGAGACCATCTTAAAAACCTGAACGTGCACAAGTCCATGGGACCTGATGAAATCCATCTGCGGGTCCTGAAGGAGCTGGCGAATGAAGTTGCTAAATCACTGTCCGTCATACTTGCAAAATCATGGCAGTCAGTGAGGTTCCTGATGACTGGAAAAAGGGAAATATAACCCCCATTTTCATGGAGGAGAAAATGGATGACCCGGGGAATTACAGACCAGTCAGTCTCACCTCTGTGCCCGGAAAAATCTTGGAGCAGATTCTCCTGGAAGGCATGCTAAGGCATGTGAAAAACAGCAAGGTGCTTGGTGACAGCCAGCATGGCTTCACTAAGGGGAAATCCTGCCTGACCAATTTGGTGGCCTTCTATGATGGGGCTATGGAACTGATGGACAGGGGTAGAGCAGCTGACGTCATCTAACTGGACTTGTGCAAAGCGTTCGACACTGTCCCACATGACATCCTTGTCTCTAAATTGGAGAGACATCAGTTTGATGGATGGACCACTCAGTGGATAAAGAACTGGCTGGATGGCCGCACACAAAGAGTTGTGGTCAATGGCTCAATGTCCAGCTGGAGACCAGTAACGAGTGGTGTCCCTCAGGGATCAGTGTTGGGACCGGTCTTGTTCAACATCTTTGTCACTGACATGGACAGTGGGATTGATGCGCCCTCAGCAAGTTTACCGATGACACCAAGCTGTGTGGTTCGGTTGATACGCTGGGGGGAAGGAATGCCATCCAGAGGGACCTTGACACACTTGTGAGGTGGGCTGACGCCAACCTTATGAAGTTTAACC